ATCCATTGGATCTTTGAGGACTCCATACTATATATAGAGCTTCCTGCCCTGCAAGGGTGTATGTGGTTACTGAACTAGAAGTCTTTCCTGATCTAATTATGACTTGGGGAGTATTTACATCCTTTCAGACAAACGTTAAAGACACCATCCCTCACTTATTTTCCCCACCATGATAAATGTCCTTCCTTCAATTGCCAGGTGATATTCATGCTAAGGTCTCTCCTTTTAAAATGTAAATTCATCAGTCTGGAAAGACCTGGCTCATACCCCTCAGACTAACTCCACAAGGGTCTGCCTAGTTATTTGACAGACCCATGTCAGATGCTATTTTTCAGTGATTACTTCTCTTTAGGGGTACAGCAATAGAATATTTTTTGGGCCAATACAATAGTCAATTTTTAAGGAGGCATATCAGCCAATACCGATCCGATTTCTGATACGCAGCCTGGCAGCTTGAAGAGCAGTGTCCAGCTGGTTAAAGTCTGTTGTGATGGAAGGAGAAGAGGAAGGGAAGGGAGGGGAAGGGGGGCAGATCAAGGCCCCTGTGGTGAAGGAGGGAGCGGGGCTCAGGCAGGCGGGGCGTGGGACACAGCCACAGCTCGTCCAGGAGGACAGGGAGGGGGGAGCGGCTCCCACCGTTACGCACACCCCAGGAGGGCATGGGGGGCATGTGCACATGGGGTGACAGTGGGCTGCCACTGCGGGATGGGGCTGAGGCAGCACCAGGCTCTTCCCAGCCAGAACTGAGCCAGGCAGCAGTGGCACTAGGAGGGGAGCTGTGGGGTGGGGGGTTTTGCCATCCCAACATTCGCTGTAGAGCCTGTGTGCAGCAGTGGCTGGAACCGTGCCCCGCTGTGAGCCACACCCCCAAAGAGTGTTGCAGACACATTTCAACAGTATACACGGCAATGTGATGCAATTAGGGACAATCTACAACAATTCACCGAATTTTGGACAATTTCTGCTTTCATCATCACAAACTGAAATTAAATTGCACAGGACAATGTTTCAGTCATTTACAGTTTTATTGGAACATTAAGAGATCAGTATGTCTTAACTAGAGGTTCATTTCTTGCTCTCGTATAACATTTCAGCATTACATTATTTGTGCCAAGAGTCTGGATCTGAAATTTAGGATCAGGAACTTCTAAAGGGACCAGTATAATTTTTTAGTGCCCAGTCTTTAACACCTTATAGCAGTGGTTCTTAACGTTTTTAGGCACCCCTTGGAAATGCCAACTCTTAAGATTTCACTTTTTGCCTACAGAAAAATAAATAGAGCAATTTTTCTATTGCAAAAAATCCAAAAAACAAAAAATTCCAAAACAAACACCCCCCCCACCAAAAAACCTCAGAAGCACAACTATGCATTTCTATTTGAAATCTCTGGGTTTACTCTTGTGAATCATGTTTGTAACACTAACAATACTAACATTGCACCCTGCAGCAACCCTGAAAGGATCTCAAGGCACCTCGGGGTACATGACACTGGCTGAGAATTGCTGCCTCACAGTAACAAGGTTTTAGTGGATAGTTATGAAAATGATTATTAAGTTAGACCCACTTCTCTTTTTGGCTTTTTCTTTTTCCTTTTGACTCTAGACCAATATGGCTACAACATGGATTCTTGACACATGGATGATATCAAGTTTTAGCCAATTTTTTAAATTTAATCTTCATAATTTTACAAGGAAGAAGCAAGTTTTACCATCTGAAACCTGAGACCATGCTCCTGCCTTTCTTGGAGGTAATATGCACCATCACAGAGCTCAGAGATACCTCAACCACATATGAAATTCCTGGCCAGAAGAGCATTCCATCTTTTTACTCTTCTGAGAAATATGAAACATCATAAGGAAATATGACTACATCCTGCAAGTCAAAAATCTTTGAGGTAAACAGAGTATTCCAACTTTTCTCTGAGCCTAACCTGCATAAAAATCGACTGTTCCAAACGAGATTTTACCACATCTTTAACTCTCCTATGAAATATGAACTTTCATTTTTCCCAGGGAGAACTTTTATGATTTTTTCACCCATGTCTGATGAAGGGCGTTTGTGCCTTAAAAGTTTGCAATTAAAGAATTTTTTTTGCAAAAATCTAGTTGGTCTAATAAAAGATATCACCTCTACCACGAGTTCCGATTCCTTTTACCCACTTAGGAGACCTCCTTTGGCATTTAAAAGCACCCCAAGATCTATTGTGTGCTGCTGTCACACACCCCCCACCCACCCAGCAGGTAAGTCTGTGGGGAGGGAGGGCAGGGGCAGATTGAGGAAGAGGAAGAAAAAATTATTTGGGGGCACACCTCCCCAATGTGTAAGACCTACCCAACCGGGGCCCCACTCAACTCACCTCTGCTCCTGCCTCTACAGCACTGTCCCTCACCATGGGGGCATTGATCAAGCCCCCGTCCCTTCCCTCCCCCATGGACTGACCTGCTGGGCTGGGGTGCACGTGTGCTTGCACGCAGGCACTCACCCCCCACCTCAGGCTTGGATCAACTTCAAGAGGCTCTGAGAGCTACCAATGGATTGAGTTCCTCTGGTTGCTGACCACAAAGATAGACTGTTCTCAGTGGTGGCAGATGACAGAACAAAAGCTACAGTCTCAAGTTGCAGCAAGGGACGTTTAAGTTAGATAGTAGGAAGAACTTTCTCACTAGGAGCGTTGTAAAACACTAGAACAGGTTACTCAGAGATGTGATGGAAGCTCCATCCTTGGAGGTTTTCAAGACCTGGGTAGACAAAGCTTTGACTGGGATGATCTAATTGGGGATGGTCCTGCTCTGAGTAGGGGGTTGGACTAGATGACCTCCTGCGGTCCCTTCCAACCCTAATTTTCTATGATTTCTATGACTTTTCTAGCATTAAAACTTCTAGAGCAAGCAACAGAAGAAAAAATATGATCTTAATTCCATTTATAGGGCTTTCATTTGTTTGTCAGTTTTTCTATTTTGCAAGGATTTTCTTAGATGGCTTAAATAAGCTTCTCCAACTTTTTCAGTTTGAAGGCAAATCTCTAGTTGTCAGCCGAGTTGCAGTTACAGTAGAAAGCAAATACTTAACAGGGTTAGATGCAAGTCCCCAGCCCTTGCACAATGCTGACCCCCAGATATGATGTGAAAACCAAGGATGGTTCAAGAAGCCTGGTTGAATAAAACCAAGTGCTCTAAAATGAATGGTTACAAGAAAATATTAAAAATCTTTACCTGAGAATACAGTAAGTAAAGCATAAAGCCACACAAGCAATATGTAACAGTATTATGGTTACAAAAATTACATTAGTGTCATTTATTAGCTAATACTGATACACAGTCGGGGTACTGTCATCTTCAGCCCAAAACCTTTCCGCACCACCCAACTACTTAACCACTGAGAACAAGTTGTTTTGCTGCTGGACCAATTTCTTAGTGGACTGACCTTCAGCTCCACCTGCACCAGTCCAGAACCCAGCAGCTCTAACAAAAGAGATTTCCTCACCTTAACACTGGCACCTTTATCCAGCCCGCATAAGACATTATATGTCCTCACCCTAGTAGGTGACCAGCCTGTTTTGTCAATTGCTCTGAAAACACACTTACCACAGAAAATCAGTAAGGTATAACAAATAGCAAGAAGATTTGTTACATAAATAAGACAGTTGATAAAATAGGAGTGCACTGATAGAGATTTTGGGGGCCGATACCGATAGCCGATATTTAAGGAGGCACATTGGCCAATCCGATTTCCGATATAGCTGCTCCAAGTGGTAAGTCCATTGTGGTGGAAGGGGAGGGGGGAGGGAAGGG